GGGAGGGGGGGTGAGTGATGGTGTAGCAGTCGGATCAGTAAAGGATCCGCAGCTCCCTGTCTGGCAAACACACGTTTCTGACTGTGGCCCCACACGGCTCTTTAAGGCCTCAGAGGACTGCTCGCCAGGTGCCGAACAATCCCACTGCAACCTTGTCGTTTTTAGTTGCAGAGTCACACGCCTTGACCTCAATTTGGTACCATGTTTCAGGATCACAAACTGCCGATTGTTAATAAGGAGAATAAGCTGTAAGGTTACCAGGACAGTCTTTGTTCCTAAGGATGTATGATTCCCCATAATGTGCAGCTGCTTACCACCGAGGGGCAGCTGTGTGTGCGGCTCCACTTCTCTCAGCTCCAGCTTCCCAGCTCCAGTGCACCCAGTTCCAGCGACTTTCTGTATGTGCTTCTTTGAGCTGTTTGCTGGATTAGGCCGAACCTATCTCAGTGAGGCGATCAATGTGCCTGTTCCCGTCCTGGTCTCCGTTCTGCTAGCCTGTTCCTTTTCATTCCTTCTTTCTGCTTCTTCATTGATGACATAACTTCATTATATCGTGTTGCCTTTTTTTAATCTTGAGGGCAGGCTCCCCTCTCATACCCTTCTCCCCACAGCAATTCTTTTCAAAAACGACTTTTCATTGATCAAACAACTTTGCATATAACAGCAACAGCAACACCCAGCAACTTCCATGCCTTAACAGCTGGAAAACAAGCAACCCTAGATGGCATGGCATCTCCTGAATCACCCTTCTTTGTTCCCTCCAAACTCTTTTACATTCCTGATGGCCTCACCGTTAAGAGTCTGATGTTATCATTGACCATGGGGCTTGCCGACCCCCATGGCCACACTCCCACATCTCCCGTTTCTTTATTAATATCAACCATTTTCTCAACACGAATTACCACTCCATATACAACATCTTGGATCCCTGGGAAAGAGATTGTCACTGGAGCCAGAAGAGTTCTCAGAACTAAAAAGCTCTGCAGCCAAGAGCTACTGCGTGCTGAAGAATCAGGGTACAAGTGACAACATTTTGAAGTCTCTGGCTGGAATCCAATGCAAGTTTTGTTTGCTTGTTTGTCTTCCTGCAGGAAATACCACATGGAGGTACTCTATATTCATTATAGAGTATTTTCATTGTATATATTGTATACATATATATCTATAATATATCACAGAATCACAGAATCACAGAATTTCTAGGTTGGAAGAGACCTCAAGATCATCGAGTCCAACCTCTGACCTAACGCTAACAGTCCCCACTAAACCATATCCCTAAGCTCTACATCTAAACGTCTTTTAAAGACTTCCAGGGATGGTGACTCCACCACTTCCCTGGGCAGCCCATTCCAATGTCTACCAACCCTTTCAGTAAAGAAATATATACCTTTATATATATGTAGTATACATATACCTTTCGGTATATATTATATAGATATCTATACTTATTATAGAGTACCTAGAGGTACTCTATATTCATTGACACAGACACACACACATTATAGAGTATATTCGTTGTATATATCATATACATATATATAATGTATACTATAGATATAGATATCTATAGTTTTATAGAGTACCTGGAGGTTGACACACACACAAACAGACACACACAGACACACATTTCCTCTCTCTCCCCCACACACACCCTTCTAGATTGTTCTTTTATTTGTTTCTTTTTATTGACACTGAGCATTTTGGTGGGGCGGGCCACCCTCCTGCCCCGCTCCCGGCGCCGAGGAGCAGCCGGTGCCTCGGGGCAGCCCCGGGGCTGTACATTTTATTCCCTGCCAGGCTGTATCCGTGTCTCCTGTCACACCCCCACAGCGGCTCCGCGCCGCCATCCTCTTCCCACTCCCACCCCTCTCCGCCCACAAGATGGCGGCGCCGCCCTCCCCGCCGCCATTCCCGCCGTGCCCCGCGCCCCGCATCCCCGCCCCGGCGGCCGGGGGCATCGCGGCGCTGCGGGCTGGCGGCGGGCATGGCGCTGGCGGCGCGGCGGAGGGGGACGTGGAGGACGGCGAGCTCTCCGACTCGGACTCCGACATGCCCGGGGCCGGCTCCCCGGGGGGACAGCAGCAAGGTGAGGGCGCGGCGGCTGCGGCCTTCCCGGCCCCGCCGCCTCCCGCTGTGGGTGCGGGCCGCGGCCGGGCTGTTGGGGGGGAGGGGTGGGGGTTTGGGAGCCCCCCTCAGGCTCCGGTGGCCCTCGGGGGTTGGGGGCTGTGAGGGGGCAGCCCCGCGGCTCTGGTGGGGAACAAAAGGCACAAACAGCCCCGGGCACGCGGGGGGCGGCGGGCGGCCTGCCCCGGCTGGAGGCCCGGCTGCGCCCCGGGGCGCTGGGGGAAGGGGGGGCAACGGGAGTGCGGCTGCAGTGCCCACGGTGTGTGCGGTAACGTAAAATACAGGTGTTTTGTAATGAAAAATAAGTCGGAGGCCTCTCTCCCTGCTTATAGGAAGAGAAGAGGTGTCACCCTAATTGTGGTGAGCGCAGTGAGGGATTTTAACCTCGGTGTAAAAGAAGCCGAAATGTAACTATCGCAGCACAGGGCACAGCTTTGTGATAAGGAACAGGCCGGGGGAGGCCTGGGATTAGCAATAAGGAAAGTGCTCATTGTATGGGCAGCGTGGCCAGAATTTCCCTCCAGGTGCGAATAGGCATTCTGGGTTATGTTGCCTGCGGTGTTTCCATGGATTAGGCAGGTTTGAATTGATGTTTTAAACTTACCTATCAGATAGGTGAGTTATTACTGTCTTATGAATATTGCAGCAATTGGACTTGTTTGTAGAAAATTCTAAACAAAACCTTTCGTTTTGTTGTTTTTTTTTTTGGTGGTTTTTTTGTTTGTTTGTTTCTTTAGTCTAAATTAGTAAGTAACTACGATGAGTCAGTAGCATGTTCTTGCTTTAAAAGAAGAAAAAAACGAAGCATGGGAGGCTCTTGCTGAATATGAGGGGGAACTTCTTTACTGTGCGGGTAACAGAGCTCTGAAACAGGCTGCCCAGAGAGGTTGTGGAGTCTGCTTCTTTGTAAACACTCAAAATTCTCTGGATGCCATCCTGTGCAATGTGCTCTAGGTGATCCTGCTCAGCAGGGGGTTGGACTAGGTGATCTTCCAAGGTCCTTTCCAACCTTGGCCATTCTGTGATTCTGTGAAAACAGAGTTCTTATCTAAGGTATTACCATCACTAACTGTTCATGTCCTGTCCTATGTGAATCAGAATCAGCACGCCCAGTTCACTTCTCAAAGTGTAAGCAGCATCCAAGTATTGTGGGTTTGTAGTTCTTTTTCTTCTTTTCCTTCTCACTAACGACCTGAGGAGCACTATTGTCATTACAGGTCACACTAGTTCAGATCTCATTCTGGCAGGTCAGACTACAGAGAAAACATTATTTTCTCTACTGTTACAAAACCTTTCACTAAGTTGATCTGGTGGTTTGCTTCCTTAAAACCTCTGTGCATGTGTCTCATCTGAATTGGGATTTGTAATAAATAGGTTTGCCAGTCTCTTAATAATCTAATTTAATGTGATTCAATAAAAGTTATGTTAAGCAGATCAGTGACTCTTGATTTGTTCGTTTGTGTTTTTTTTTTCCTGTAGCAACCAT